TGAATAACTAATATACTCTTAAATTTTGCGAATGAATAAACAAAAAATAATAAAATATATTTAAGTTTTTCACATTAGTAGTTTATTTAAACACTCATTTATGTAAATTGTACCATCAATCGTTAAATTTCAGAATTAATTGATTTAAAATAACTCTATTGCCATTGTAAAATGAAATTCTTTAATCGTTGCACATCAGAGAAATTTATTTATTTTAATACAAATTTTAAAATTTAATATCTTTTATTATTCATAGTTTAATGTAATATAAGAGAAATTGTTTTTTTGGTTTTTACTGTTGAATTTTGAGCTATTAGATAGGATAGGAANTGGATTATTTTTTTTAAATAATAAAAAAATATATAATTAAATGTAGACAAAGTTTTCTTCTCTTTTTTTTTTAAAAAAAAGCAAGAATAAAAAAATGCGTGTGTACTTTTTCAAATTTAAAATATCGACGTTGTATAATTTAGTTGTAGTTTCGTATCTAAATGAAATTAATGAAAATATCGATTTAAATGTAATGTGGAAAATGATTAATCCTTTATAATCCTAGATAATAAGAGGTGTTCTATAATCATATTTAATTAAGTTGAAATTGATAAAATAGTTTATAAGATTTAATATAGACTTGTTTAATTAAATTAAGGTAATTTATTAATAATGTATTAATATCAACGTCTTCGACTAGTTGAATAACTAATATACTCTTAAATTTTGCGAATGAATAAACAAAAAATAATAAAATATATTTAAGTTTTTCACATTAGTAGTTTATTTAAACACTCATTTATGTAAATTGTGCCATCAATCGTTAAATTTCAGAATTAATTGATTTAAAATAACTCTATTGCCATTGTAAAATGAAATTCTTTAATCGTTGCACATCAGAGAAATTTATTTATTTTAAATAAAATAAATTCATTAATTCCATATTATATTTTAAAATTTATAATAAAAAACCAAGAATGGATCTTGGTAGATTTGATTGAATCTTTGATATTTCATAGTGTTAGTAGTCTTGATCAGAAGTTTTCGTAGGCACAAAGCCAAAAACTGGACAGTTTTTGAGTTACAGAGCTTCCAAGATACAAAGCAGCATAATTCGCGTATGTGTTATGAATGTTACTATAGGAAATCCTCGTTAGTTCGAAATTCAGGGGACGAAATATTCGCGATTTCGAATTATCGAATTTCGAATTGTCCGAGATTTTCATATTTCTGTACAATATGCCAAATGCTATATAACTGATGTAATTTATTAAGCAACGTATACAGAAGGCTATTTTCGTTAATTAATAATAATACTAATATACTGTATAGGTAAATAGCATGTGCCCGGTGAAAACCTCACAGGTCACCAGATAGATTTTATAAAAAGTAAAATAGAATTTCTTGAAATGTAGTCCAAATTACTTTTAAAGTGGCTGAAAAAGTAATAAGTCGTAGCTAGAGTCGTACAAATATCTCAATCTGCTACTCGTAGCCCAATCCTGCAACCCCGAAACCCAGCTGTATTTTATGAAATAAGAGAGAAAAAAAGGATAGTCCATATGTAAGGTGACACCCGAAAATATTTTACTATAAAAGCAAAACCATATTGACCAGATTAGAGTTGTTCTTGTCTATTGTTCTCTTATTTCTCTTATTGCATGGAGGCACTTCAATGTAAAATAAACGAACAAGTTAACCCAAGCATATCACAGTTTAACAGAATTTTCACTTCGAATTTCGAACTAACCAAATTTCTTAATTAACAATCAAATCTCTATATCCCCAGCCGCGGCAAAAGTACAGTCACGAACTAACAAGTAAGATAAGTTCATCAAACTTTTACACGCTTGATTTTATAGCGTCCACTTCATTTTTACTTTATTTCTTTTATCAAAAATTTTAAAATTCTCTTTTATTTAACAGAAAATAAATTATTGTTATATTAAGCACCAAAAAATTGAATTCCTCTTTCATTAATAAGCAATAATATCTTTTCTTAGCTACTCTTGCATCAAAGAACTGCAGCGAATTTCTTGCGAAAGGAAACAGAAATCTTGACTCGCGAAATAACCAGTAAAAACACAAATCTATCAATATGTAACTGGTTTAAACACCGTTATTCTCTAGGAATTATCACACCCACAGATTACAAAAATACTAGCCTATCAAACAACTTTATTTTACCCAGATGCATTTCGGAATGACGGCAATGACCATGCGGAATGCGTATGGTTAAAGAAAAGAACACAGGAAGAAATGATTTTATTATAGAAATAGAAAAAAAAACAATTGGAATATTGAAATATTGTGTAAGAGTATCAAAAAAGAGTTTGTGCTTCGTTTGGCTTGTTTGAAAGAAAGCCCACTGAGGAGGGAAATGTTTTAATTTTCAAAATGTATCTGGGTAAAATAAAGTTGTTGATAGGCTAGTATTTTTGAAATCTGTGAATGTGATAATGCCTAGAGAATAACGGTATTTAAACCGGTTACATATTAATATATTACTGTACGTATAAAGCAAAATGTTAAAACATAAAAATAGTTTCATTAGCTTAAAACTTTTTATATTAATATTTGTAAAAAGTTTTAAGCATTAAATTTTATTACATTAAGAAATATATTACAATACATTTCGTTTAATCTCACAAATTTTATTTATTAAAATAATGCTTGAAAACACATAACAATTATCGTTAAATACGATATTGATATTTTGTAACTATATAACCTGTCACTGAAAATGTACATTAATTTTATTGTAATGTGTAATTTGTTACAAATTGTCGATATAATGTTTAGAAGGAGAAATACCGTCCATATTGAAGGGATGAACTTTCTACTCCCACATAAGATGAATTTTTCAGAATCAAATCTATTACAAATATACCGAAGATAGCAACATGAATTCTGATTATTCGAATCTCTTTGATCTTATGATTCGATTTTTTTCCAATCTAAAAGCTTTGCTAACACTCAATCGACTATTTTAATCGTTGTCTTTCCTTATAAGCTATGAAAATTGATAGAAATAACATTATTTTTCTAAATTGAAACGTTTTCTTCATGTATGTAATGTCCCTTACCCCGGCCGAACTTATGATGCGTAGGATTAAAAAGGACCTCTCAGTGCCCACGGTGTGGAAAGTCAAAAATGAAAAAAGGACATAATGACAGACTAAATTTAAAATATATTGAAGGAATTTAAGGACAATATTAAGAATTATCAGACATTAATTTTAATAAAATAAAAACAAGAGAGTAAATTAAATGCTTCTTATATTTTTTGATAAGTTTTTATGGAAGATTTTATTTTTAGAAATAGTGGGTGTGATTAATTAGTAACTCAATCATACAAACTGAATATTATTTTAAAATACTAAAGAAAAAATGTTTAACCTTATTATTATTATTATTAAAATTCGTTGTATAATATGCTATTTAAATATCACAGAAAGTATCTCGAATTTTAAGTGAAAATTTTGCTAAGATTTAGATCTAGAAGAATTAGATTTCGTTCGAAAAATCCTTAGCAGCACTTATAAGACACAAACCGAGATATGAGGAGAGCGTGGGAACATTGATCGCCCAAAGTTGTCGGGGAAAATTATTGATTTTAAGCCTTAATGTATACATTTACTTAAAGTTATATCAATAATAAATAAATTGTTGTAATTACCAATAGCTCTTAGAGTGACTTTTGTCGAAAAGCTTCTGGATCNCCAAAACAAATTCCGCCCACATTAATTTCCTTTCTAGTTTCTGAGAAAATTTATCTTTATCTTTACTCCCACGCACAAGTCTTTTTATAATGGACGATGGGAACACCTGCTTTTTTATATCTGGTAGATGTTTCCATAAATTATTCACTGTATCTTAATTAAGAATAAAAATTAATATTAATAGTTAAGAATAGTGCTAATTTATGTTAAATTTGGCACAACTTCAACTCTGTTTCAACCACGCCCTTCGTTATGGGGCCTTACCTCTATATGATATCAATGGGTTAGAATTTTATAGCCAGTTCTATTTAAATGAGTGTGGCAACAGTTCTTACTTTATACTTCCTTTTACTAGTCATTTTTTTTTAATGTTTCTTCGCAACAGATGCAAATTTACTCTTTTTACGACCGAAATGGGATTTAAATGAATATTTAAATCCCATTCATCTATTATTAGAATATGTTTTATTTCTTTAAAGCGAATGTGCGTTGTTATCTACGTCAAATGTTTTTACAATACACTTTCTTTCCCTTTATTATACTCAATTTTTGATTTTAAAAAATTCGAAAATTATTAGATATTTTAAATAAAAAATAAAATTTACGTCATTTATAAATTCTCCAGCGTAATTGGCTATTTTTAAAAACTAAATTGATACAGTAGAAGTAATTCCAAAGCTAATTTGCCATCTTTCAAAAGGTCAAATGGATTTTAAAGTATATTACCATTTATTAACCAATAAACGGCAAACATACTTTTGAATGATAGCAAATCAGATTCGAAATCGCTTAAGATGTCAGTTTCAATTTTGAAAATAGCCAATCACGCATGCGAATTATATTTTGAAATGTATTATAAAGCCATTTTGAAATATTTAGTGATACAAATAAACTTATAGCGTTTGTTTGAAATTTTCAAAAATTATTTATACTTCTTCATTTAAAAATATGTTATTTATAATTTTACTAACCGTTGACGTTTTAGTAATTCTATAATTTTATATTAAACTAAAATTTGAGCGCTATTGGTTTATTTTTAAAAATACTGTGACGTAAAAGGGATTGATAATCAATCATACAGCGGGAGTCGCGACGTCATATTTTCTCTAGATAGAAGGATAATTATAAATTTATAAATCTCCTGTTTGGAAAATTTGATATCTCCATTAATAATTCATGCGATTAATATATAAAAGAAATAAACGATTACTTTCTGTTTACAGAAACTAGATTAGTTCCTATAATAAAAATTAAAACTATATAATTTATATATGATTTATGTAACAGAGTGCCCACCCGCTCCAGACGGAATGCAGAAAATTCCATGTCCGAAACCGAATAAAAATGGACGTTATATCTGCGTGGATAATCGTGTAATATGCGATGGATTTGTTGATTGCCCCAATGCTGATGATGAAGATAGAATGTCCTGCATGTTTTATAAAACGGTAATTTTATTATATTTAAATGTCTATTAAAGTTTCACGTAAATCTTCTAAAAGAGTGTTTTAAATAGAAATTAATTTAAAATAAACATTTTAAAAGTTGCTAGAAGGAGAATAGCAGACATTATATTTACCATCATCATTTTTAAATTTTATTAATTAATTATTTTATAATTTAATTTCCAAATTATCTATTTCTGGAATTAAATTAAATTCTTTATCAAGTACATTTAAAAGTTAATTAAAATAAACTTTTTATTTTTTGTATAATTTGTTACAATTAGCCTAATCTTATGTTACATAAAATACTAATTACTGTGCAAAAAATATTAACCTTTTATAGAATTTTAAAGATAACAAACTGAAAATATTAATAATTTTTGATTTATAGAATGTTATATAAACTTAATAGTAAGCTTAGTTCATAACAAAAGTTTTGTAAAGTGTAATTACTATTAACATCAATGAATTACTTGCTCTACAACAGAACTTCCATTAGTGTATATTTAATGGGTACAAGTGAACAGCAAATAATTTAACATCATTATAGCTATTATTGACCGTTACAGGAACATTTTATAATTTTGTGATAGTTTTTTTTAATACGAGTTAGTTTTTTACCTCCACAAAATAGTTTTTTTTTAAAGAGTAATTATATCTAAATTGAAAGCTTCAATTTTTTAAGAAATGAATCGACTATATCATGTTAATAATGATTTAGGGACATCAATGGAAAGAATTAAAAAAAAAAAGGTATCAAATTTTGACCTTGATAGTCAGGTATTATTAGATAAATAAATGGTTACCCGCTGTGATTAAAAGATTGCATTCCCTACGTGATGTAGCTTGATCAAATTACATCAAGACAAAAGCAGCTTTATGAGAATGCTGTTGACGTTACACTTGTATGGAAGAACCCCTCTTCTTCAATATCGTGTTCTGAAATAGTGTAAGAAAGAATGATTGAGATTTGCTTACGAATAGATATTTTTTCATGTATAGAAGAAATTTGGGGATTATAATAATATTAAAAGTTTCTAATAGATTTTTCATATTGAAATCAATTGTAAATAGGCTACTCTATATAAAATTTTCTTATCAACTTCGTAATAACTAGATCTACTTGGGTTAGTGTGTCGAGGTGTTATTGAAGTCAGCTAAATAAATTTCACAATTTATTTAAATAGGATTTCAAATTACGAAAATTGAATTTTGAAAATATTACATCAAATAATTCATCTTTAATTTATGTATATACATTTAATTTTAATGATAAATTACTTCTATTCATTTATTCCTAAAAAATTTTTATGTTAAAGATTTTTATTGTTATGATTCGTGGAAGTGAATTATCATGCTAATGGCATTATTAGGCATAAAAATCTAAAAATATGCCTGTGTGTACTTCCTAAAATCAAAAATTTATGCATTGAAGTAATAAGTAAAAGCCTTATAAATTTATTTCATGTTATATTTGTTCTTAATAGTTATATTAATTTGGCAACATGCCTCTTTTTTTTAAATGAAAACTCGATTCATCCATACGTTATATTTTCATTTTTTTTAAAGTAAAAATAATTAAAATTATAGTTTTAAATTCCGAAATAAGTAAGGATTTAAAATTCTTTATTTAAAAAAAAATATTTAATAAAAATTTACAATATTTTTATAGCAATTAAATATTGTTCTTTAGCCGTGACCTGATTAATGTATCGTGACAACTGGCAGTTAGATCTTCTCTTTACTTTTAATGCAAGATGTGTAAAAACTCATAATCGTATACGCTACTTGAATATTCTACTAATTACGTTAAATGGCCCACAATCTTAATTATCTTATAGTTTATGAAAGCTTTCCGGGGAATGACTCTAATGCTTAATTTTACATAATATAAAATACTTCTCTCCAAATAATTTATAATTTAAATTGGAGTTTTTGCATAGTATATTAAAGATAAAATTATAACACGAATATTATATATATATATATATATATAGGTTATATCAGGTTATTTTTCAGGTGATAACGTAAAATAAATCATATAAAATACTACTTATTTGATGTTGTTGAGTAATCGTCTACTTTATATAATAATTAAATATTCGTATTTTAGTTAAAAATTAATTAAAATTATAGTTTTAATAGAATTACAATTAACTGAATAAAATTGAATATCTGTTAAACAATTAATAATTTTTCATTTTACGAAAGTTTTTAATATATTTGCATATTTAAATAACAAGAATTTATCGATTAGAATTTATTTTGATAAACAACGTGATTTATTGGTTTGTTTATTAAATGAGTTAAAATTTAATTAATTTTTGTTATAAAATTTAAAAAAAAAATGGAATTTAACATTATTTTCAATTGAAGAGATTGAAAGTTTTTATCGAATGTTTACTGATGTATATAGCCTATATTCATATGAAAAATATAATTTTCGATTTTTGTTATAAAATATTTTATATAATCACAAATTCCTGTTTAAATAAATAACTTTTTCTGTTCAATTTTCATTATTTTGAATTATAATGCAAAGAATTTTACACTTATCATACCTTTAATAATATACCCTTGTCCATATAAGATTTTATTAAATTATAATTAATTACAGTAAATTATATAGTGAAAGAAGTAAAAATACACTGGCGAAAAATGAAAGTGGAACAACTTGAAAAATTATCTATTCGTGTTGAAATTTTGTGAGTTTATAGAATGTTTATGTAAATTGATAGAAAAAAAAATTTATTTAGAATATAGGATGGACACTGTGTGACATTAGCTGATTAAAATCGAGTGTGACTATCTTGTGTTTGAGTACAAGCCCTGATTCTGTTATAAATTATGTTCTAGAAAAGTCAATTGATGTAGTTGTTATCCAATCATGACCCATACGTGCTCAATAGAAAACATGTCTAATGATCTAACAGGTCATGGAAGGACATTTATATTCCGAAGAGAATGTCTAGTGAGGTTGGCTAGGTGAGTATGCATTGCCTTGCCTTGTTGAATCAATGCATTGTTTATGTTTGTCAAAAAATAGTAAATAACTGGATTATAATACTGACATAATACTGGACAGTAAATGAGCCTTCACGAATACAATAAAAAATCTTGAGTTGGTATTCATATCGTATGTCATAATGCTGGGATGTGCAATGTATACAGTGTTCACTTGCTCGCTCTCTTGGGTGTCTTCTAATTTTAATTCGTCTTTCATTACACCCCATAAAGAAATGGTTTTCATTACCGAACACTATTTCACTTCTCTTTCTAGTTAAACTTGTCATAGAACTTCTAAAAACATTCATGACGATAGGTCAATGTGACATATGAAATAAACACTTTTAATCCTACTAGGAATGCACAAGGGAAACTACAGAATTTCTTATTTATATAGCAGTTAATATTCTTCTCATAATTTCATTCATCGAATCTAATTATTTTACCACTCGTCTGTTTGTCATGTGGGTCCAGAAACTGATGATGGAAAGCAGACTCTTCTTTCATTAGCTGGCACTAGCAACAAAGCGCTGTCGAAACTTCCCTGCAATTTGGCGGCAAAGAATTTCTTGGAATGAAATTCCTCTTCATGTAACCTAATAATCTTTCCACACTCTCAATTCAGAGAAATACGTGTACAGTAGGGTCTCAGTTTAAAAGATCCCAATTTAACGGACATAAAATTTCTATTCTAAAAAAGAAATTTAAAACTTTTTTATTCGTGAATAGAGTACTCTAAAAGGTTGAGTCAATGAATTAACATTAGTGGAGTGGAAACATTCTATTAGTTACATTGTATAGTTTTTTGACGTATTTAATTAAAATGAAGTTTATTTCCTGTCGTGAATTTATTTTTATATTTTTAACAGATGTTTTACTGGCGTGCTTAAATTATTCAATATACATTACAATAATATTTTATTCATTTTATTCATACTTTATTCACACACTTTAATAAATCCTGTACATTGTAAATTTGTTATTATTATGTAGACTTATATATTTGTTTAAAATACATTCGATTTAATGGATATTCTTAATAGACGACCAGGCCCGTAGCTAGAGAGGGCCAAGGTGGCTCAACCATCCTTGTTGATTGTTCCAAATGACGAAATTCTATTTATAAATTTATCTAAAAAATATAAATAATGATTTTTTAATATTTAAATTTCGAATATTTTTACAGCATTTTGTACACGCGTTATTTAATATAATATTATATCATAAAAACCGAACCCATTCTCAGCAGAAAGAATAATTAATCATTAAACACCTTTGGCTGTTAAGTGTTTAGTGTAATATTTAAAGTTTAATGTTCTATATTCTATACATAATGTATTCTATTTTAGAACTGTTTTTAACTGATGTTCCAAAAATCAGTCACTTGAGGACAGCCTGTACATTAGGCTGTATAGTTTAAGCAAATAAATGTTTCTCAGTAACCAAAGGTGTTTAGTGATAAAGTATTATATCGTATTTCAAAAATTTTCTAGGAGAAGGCCTAAATCTTCTTTCTCTGAGGCACTTCCAGTAATGCCATCTCAAAATTTGCTAGGTCCATCCCTGCTATAATCGATCTAGCTATGCCCTCGTAGACAATATTCCTTTCCTCATTAATCCAACAATAATATAAATAAATAAATAAATTTTTACTTAAGAAAAAACTTTGCCAGAGGAGTGCCAAAGCCCCTTGGCTCCTCTGTGGATGCGCCACTGACCTACTGTATAAAGTAATTCTGGTATATTCTAGCTGTGTTTATACCTTATATATTGTACGGAAGAACTAAAGTAACGTTTTTAAAATTTTGTATTGATAAAACTAATAATAATAAATCTTAAAAATATAACATTTACTCATGTGTCACACAGATAAATAAGGTTGTTTTCATAAACTAAGTGCTGCTGAAGATTTATTCTTTATCATACCTCTTAACATTATCACCAAGTATGGTTAAAATTGATCCATCTCACGATGTTCGCCTTCAATTTCTGCTAAT